GGTACAGAAAAATACATGGAACAGATATTTGTTCTCACGAGTCGTTTCTATGATGGGCTTTTTCCCAGCTAAGTTACTAAAAGCCACCTTTTAGCTAATTCTCTCAAATACATCAGTTTTGCTTTGTTTTTTTGAGATAGGGTCTCGCTCTGTTGGCCAGGCTGGAGGGCAGTGGTGCAAACATGGCTCACCACAGCCTCTACCTCCTGGGCTCAACGAATCCTCCTGCCTTAGCCTCCTAAGTAGCCAGGACCACAGACATGCACCACCACGCCTGGCTAATTTTTTGTATTTCTGGTAGAGGTAGGGTTTCACCATGTTGCCCTGGCTAATCTCAAACTCCTGGGCTCAAGTGATCCTCCTGCCTCAGCATCCAAAGTGCTGAGATAACAGGTGTGAGCCACTACGTCTGACCTCAAATTTATTTGTTACGTGAACATAAATTGTATATATCAATTGCATACAACCTGATGTCTTGAAGTACATGTATGTTGTAGAAAGATTAAATCTAGCTAATTAACAAATGTACTACATAGTAAGGTACTATGTACAAATGTACTACGTAGTACATTTGTTAATGAAATAATAGCATAGCTATCATTTTTGTGGTGAGGGCACTGAACATCTACTCTATTAGCAATGTCCAGGAATACAATATATTGTGATGAACTCGAGTCACCAGGCTGTACAACAGATCTCTTGAACTGATTCCTCCTGTCTATAACTGTAAATACACATTCTCTGACAAACAACTCCCCAACGCGTCCATCAGCAGCCTCTGATAATGACTATTCTATTGTCCACTGCTGTGAGATGAACTTTTTTAGACTCCAGCTAGGAGTGACATCCTGTGGCATTTGTCTTTCTGCGCCTGGCTTATTTCACTTCACATAATGCTCTCCGTATTCAGCTCTGATGTAGCCAATTGCAGGATTTCATTCTGTTTTAAGGCTGAATAGCACTCCACTGTAGACAGACCACACTTTCCTTACACATTCATCCACGGATAGACACTCAGGCTCCTTCCGTTACCTGGCTATTGTGAACAGAGCTGCAATAAACCCGGGAGTTCAGATCTCTCTCCGACATCCTAATTTCATTTCCTGTGGCTACATACCCAGGGGTGAGATGGCTGGATCTTCACTAGTTGTGTTGAGTGTATTCTCCATACATTATTTAAAGGGCTGCTGTTGGCAAGGCTTGGCTCTCAGAACAAATTGTAGGGGGACCATCTGCACAGATGGTCCCAACTGTCTTGCTAACTTGTGAGAGTTAAAGCCCAAAATGTTCCAAAAATATGTATTTTTCTAAACACTGGATTCTATAGAGAGACTTCTGTTCCAGAACTCACAAGCTTATTAATTATAATCCTTTTCATAGTGCTACAAAATCTGGAAAACATATAGGTAAATAAGTCCTTCCAACTTCCCAAAAATAAGTCCAACCTAACATAAGTAGAATGAAACGTATATATTTTAAAATAAACAGCTGTATTCTGGATAAAATGTCTGTCCAATATTTTATCTTTATCATTAGGAGCTAATAAAATAGGTCCTAATGGATGAAATGATTTAAGAATACGAGCTGGGGCAGTGTCTCAGGCCTGTAATCCCAGCACTTTGAACTCAGGAGCTGACGACCAGCCTGGGCCACACGGTAAGACCCTATCTCAACAAAACATAAAAATATTAGCCGGGCATGGTGGCATGTGCCTTTAGTCCCAGCTACTCTAGAGGCTGAGATGGGGGGCATGACGTGAGCCCAGGAGATGGAGGCTGCAGTGAGCGACTATCATGTGACTGCACTCCAGCCCAGGCAACAGAGTAAGACCCTGTCTCAAAAACAAAGCAAAACAAAACAATTTTATAATTCCTCATAGACCTTTCTGATAAACAGATGATATTTTTAAAAAGTCAATGTACCATTTAAACCTTTTATTCAGAAACAAACGATCACCCCAAGGGAAGCACGGGGTTTTGGAAAATTCTTAGTCATTAAGCTTCTTTCCAGCAGCGTCGCGATGCCTGTGAGGATTCTTTTGTGTCTTGGCTCCGTATGTCACGTCAGAGTACATCAAGGGATGCTCTCCCATGCCGGCACGGTGCTCACTTCCTCTGAGTTTGGGAGGAGGTAATTTAGTAAGTACTATGTATCCCTTAGCGCTCCACCGATAGACCAGGGTCATCCTCCAATTCTTGCAAATTTCAAATCAGTAGGGCCTGAACAAATGTATGAATCACTGAGGCCAGCATTAAAACATGCCTTGGATTAGGTAGAAAAGCAAAACACTTAGGAGTGATTTTTGTGAAAGGGGGATGTGGCTGGGCGCAGTGGCTTACACCTGTAATCCCAGTGCTTTGGGAGGCTGGGGTGGGAGGATCACTTGAGCCCAGGAGTTCAAGGCTGTAGGGAGCCATGATTGTGCCACTGCATTCCAGCCTGGACCAGAGAGACAGTGCCTTAAAAAAAAAAAAAAAGGGGGTGTGGTTATGAGATGCAACTTGCATCCAGTTTCAGGGGCTGTGCAATCTGGAGAGCCTTACAGAAGCCCCCCCATCAGCTGAGGAAGCAGTTAAAGGAAGAAAAGGTTAATGACCAACTCTGGTGGCACTGGGCACTATTTCCTGGAAGCCTCTCTCTGGAATCCCTAATACCTCCACGTGCCCCTCAGTCTCTTGTTCTCTGCTCTTCCCCTCTTTTCCTGATTTTCCTTCCCTGTCCCAGCTCATTCCCCTTGAACCTCTTTATTTCCCTCCCTGCCCTCACTTAACTGGTAACAATCCTGCCTGAGGTGGCTAACAAAAATACTTGTGATTAATAACAGATTAGACAAAAATCAGAACTCTTGAGAGACAAGAATAAAAGCAAGCTCCAGTAAAACTGTTACATAGAAAACACAGACTAAACTCTCCAACACGGCGAAATACAAGTCCCAAATCGGGCTGAACGTAGCAAGCGAAGCAAAAAGGGGGGCAGTGAGTTTCAAGGTCACACTATGTTAGTTGCTTTGGATAGCATGACTTTCCTCGGTACTAAGATCTGAAAGGAATTTCTCCCATAGGTCCCAATAAGAAGGACGCTGTGGGCCGAGCATGGTGGCTCACGCCTGTAATCTCAGCACTTTGGGAGGCTGAGGTAGGCAGATTACCTGAGGTCAGGAGTTCGAGACTGACCTGGCCAATACAGCAAAACTCTATCTCTGCTAAAAATACAAAAAATTAGCCAGGTGTGGTGACACGCACCTGGAGTCCCAGCTACTCGGAGGCTGAGGCAGGAGAACCACCTGAAACCAGGAGACAGAGGCTTGCAGTGAGCTGAGATCATGCCCAATGCCAGAGCCTGGGGGACAAAGCAAGACTCTGTCTCAGAAAAAAAAAAAAAAGGAAGGATGCTGTGATTTAATAGATTTCTTTTTTATTTCTTCTTTTTTTCCACTTTCTAAGGGTTTAGAAAAGCAGATTTAATAGATTTCAACATCCTTGCGATAAAGGCACTACTAGGTTTCAAGTGACTGTTTATTACGGTTTGGCATTAAAGACACCAAAGCCCCATTTCATCAAAGCAATTCAGCAAAGGCCCAGTGGGGTCCAGCTTCACAGCTCTCTGATGAATTGGCTTAAGGGTAGACCATTCAGAGGAATACATGCCAATTTCTAACTCTAAAGGTAGATGAGTCAGATGTTTTAAATTTCTCGAAGGAAAAGCCTCCTAGAGTTCGCTGGTTCTAAGCTGCATGTTACTAAATCACTCTCAACCTTCTCTTCTGCAGGTCAGTGGTCCTTCAATTTTAAAAAAAGTCTCTTTACTGCAATGAAGTAACATGCTATTTTCTTCTGTTTTCAGGAATGAATGCATCAGGAGTTTGGCTAAAAGTCAGCGTCCTGCACAGGTATCTTTCCACAATTCTTGGTGGAAAGAGAGAGTAGCTGCCAAAGTTTTAAATCTGTTCAACCATCAACACAATATCAAGTGATCGCTCAGCCCCTGTTCATAACTTGGCCTCTTCAGTACGGACCCCTGAGTGACTATGGTGCTCACTGAGCAATATCCTCTACGCTGACAGAAAACAGACAGGTGAGAGAAATTTAAGAGCAACTCAAGCTCCCTTGTTAGAAAAGAACCTTAACAAGAATTCTTATGCTTTTTGTTCATGGGCTCTTTGACAATTATGAAGGCTGTGAGTCCTTTCCTAGAAAAATACATACGTATAAGATCTTGCATTCAATTTCAGGGGGCTCAGAGAACCACGCCGCAGGTTCAAAACTATTCCGTGAGGACGGTCTACTGAGACCTTTCCCAGGTTGCATCTGTAGACCATAAACACAAAATGCCATATCTAAGATGTTTTGGAAATACTAGGTGAAACACAAACACACACATACACTTCATCAACGGAAGACGTTTCCGAATCTCATACACTAACACACGCTATCATTTGATAATAGCCAACGGTAGGTGTGTTTCCTAAAAGTATGTGAACCTTTTTGTGGGGTGGGGGGTGGTTCTGATAAGCATTTCCTGAAACTACTGCTCCCACAGGACAGTTTGGGAAGGAAAGTAACCCTGAGGATGCCTTTTTGATACAGTCTCCAAGTTAGGAAGGTCTTGGTCCACACTCTTCCTCTTTTTCTCATCAGGCTCAGGTGCCACTCCAGCCTAGCGCAGACTCCAATAAAACTCATGGATGAATGATGCATGCCACCCGGAGACCACTGTGGGAAATGGTTTTTGACCCAAAGTCTCCCCATTACCCTCGCCTCTCTCCCATCTCAGGAGACTCCCTCACTCGTTGTGTGCGGTCAGTCAATTCCACTTCAGACAATCTTTGACAGACAGAATCACCTCTTTAACCCACACTCTCCTAATCCGGTTTGGCTGTGCCTCCCCCAAATCTCATCTTGAATTGTAGCTCCCATAATCCCCCCCATCGTGGGCAGGACCCAGTGCGACGTAACTGAATCACGGGGGTGGGTTTTTTCCCCGTGCTGTTCTCATGATAGTAAGTGTCACAAGATCAGATGGTTTAATAAAGGGGAGCTCCCCTGCACACACCCTCTTGCCTGCCACCACGTAAGACATGCCTTTGCTCCTCCTTCGCTTTCTGCCATCATTGTGAGACCTCCCCAGCCATGTGAAACGAGGTCTGTTAAACCTCTTTTTCTTTATAAATTACCCAGTCTTGGGTATTTCTTCATAGCAGTATGAAAATGGACGAATACATTTCCTCATCATTGTTTTAATTATCCAAAGTATCTCAGAAAGGTTTCTCTCACTCTCTTTGTTCCATCTGGGAATAAATATAAGATTAGGTTGGGTGTGGTAGCTCAAGCCTGTAATTCTAACATTTTGGGAGGTGAGGCAGGTCGACTGCTTGACTTCAGGAGTTCAAGGCCAACTTGGGCAACATATGAAACCCTCTCTCTACAAAAAATGCAAAACTTAGCCAGGAATAGTGATGTGCACCTGTGGTCCCAGCTACTCAGGGGGCTGAGATGGAAGGATCGCTGGAGCCTGGGCAGCAGGGCTTGCAGTGAGCTGAGATTGTGCCACTGCACTCCAGCCTGGGCGAAGAGTCAGACCCCGTCTCAAAAAAAAAAAAAAAAGATATTAATTATAATGAGTAATGTTGGAGTTACGTTATCAATAAATTTGTATTACTTCATCCAACTTTATTCTAAAACATTAGAGAGCTAGATTGCATTTTCAGAGAACCACTTTGAGTTCTATCTTGTGAATTAAGAATCTTCACCAAAACCATTTCCATTTACCAAAGTTATTTAATGTATTTTCTTATTTAGGCAGCATCACTTAATATGTAAGCGTGAGGTTCACTCTTTCACTTGTTTTACAATATACTTGTATATGGTGACAGACTGTATAGATCATGTAGTTCAATGTTTTATAATATCTATATACGTGTGCACACACATTAATCATTTTTCTCCTGCAAATGCAGAATATCTATAGCGGGTCCCAAAAGGTTTCTGTTCTCAGAACTGAGGAACTATAACCTACCTGCTAATTATTGCACTGTTTTTCTGGGAAATATTATTCAACTGACTTATAAGCTTTCAGAATCATCAGTTTAAGGCTAAGTACTTCCTATTTTTTACATTATTAGATAAAACATCTTACACACACACACACACACACACACACACACACACACACACACGCGTACGTGAACCAGGGCCACTGGTTCTGGCTAAACTGAAATGGTTTCCTTCACTAGGAAAGAGGATTTTTAAATAAATTCTTGGTTGATTGATCCAAACCACAGTGTATGATACTAAGGAATTGAGCCAAACTTTCTGGAAACGGTCCTGGAAATTGTTAGTCAATATCCACTTAAAGATTCACTAAAAGATGATAGGTTCTGGTTCCTCCCTCTCATTTAAATCGGGACCATAAGAATAAAAGCAAGGAAGGAAGCCCTAGAGTGGGTTTCTGTGGCTTCAGGATGGTGTTTTCTTTAGAACCATCACAATCAGGTGTGAGGATCATAACGTATCAGTTCCTTCACAGTTGGCTCCACTAGCATCCCTTCCTTCCTCCCTGATCAGGGCACCTTGCCTCTTCCTTGGGTAGTCCAATGGACTGAATGTTTGTGTCTTCCCAAAATTCCTATGTTGAAACCCCAATTCCCAGTGTGACAGTATTAGAAGTGGGGCCTCTGGAAGGTGATTAGGTCTTGAGAGTACAGTCCTCATGAATGGGATTATACACAGGTGCCCTTATTAAAGGGACCCCAGAGAGCAACTTGCCCTCTTTCTACCTTATAAGGATACAGCAAGAAGTCAGCAGTCTACAACCCTGAAGTGGCCCTCACATGCTGGCACCCTGGTCTTGGACTTTCTCAGATTTTATGAGAGAGACATTTCTGTTGTTTACAGGCCACCTATCCAGGGTACTTTGTTAGAGGAGCCTGAACTGAGGAACTACACCCGGTTTACGTGACACAGAGCCCAGTGCTTGACTCCAGGGGTGTATGAGCCATTTCCCCTTATTCAAGAGATTAGACACGTGACTCAAGATGGGGTAATAAGAGATGGAACATTTCCTGGAACTAAAGAGAAAGAAGAGCTGTCTTCCTGGAGACATTTGCCAATTTGGCAGATGATAAGCCTGGAGCTCAGAGTGGGCCATCTTGCTGCCATATTGGGGACCCTTCCCTGCTTGAGAATAAAATTAACACAGAGGAGGAGAGCGGGGTAGGGACAGTGGGGGAAGCCTAATAACATCATCGAGCATCTACAGCCAGTTCTACCTGAAGATAACACTAATTCTGCACTTCATAAGGGTCAATAAAGTTCTTTTTTTTTTTTTTTTTTTTGAGACAGGGTCTCCATCACCCAGGCTGGCGTACAGTGGTATAATGATGGCTCACCGCAGCCTCAACCTCCTGGGCTCAAGCAATCCCCCTGCCTCAGCCTCCCGAGTAGCTGGAACTACAGATGTGTACCACCATGCCCAGCTATTTGTTTTAAATTTTTTTAAAGATGAGGTCTTGCTATGTTACCTAAGCTAGTCTCAGACTCCTAGCCTCAAGAGATCCTCCTGCCTTGGCGTCTCAAAGTGCAGGGATTGCAGACGTGAGCCACATTCCCTTTTTTATGTAAGCCAGTCTGAGGTGGAGTTCTGTCACTTGCAGCTGGAAGAGGAGTTGAAAGTCAATCTACTGGCCAGTGTCATGGCTCGCACCTGTAATCCCAGCACTTTGAGAGGCTGAGGTGGATGGATAACCTGAGGCCAGGAGTTCTAGACCAGCCTGGCCAAAAAGGCGAAACCCCATCTATACCAAAATATACAAAAATCAGCTGGGTGTGGTGATGCATGCCTGCAATCCCAGCTACTTGGAAGGGTGAGGCACCAGAATAGCTTGAACCTGGGAGGCGGAGGTTGCAGTGAGCCAAGATGGTGCCACTGCACTCCAGTCTGGGCAACACAGAGAGAGTCTGTCTCAAAAAACAAAGTAATATAAAAAGTCAATCTATTAACTGAAGTGTAGATCCTTTTGCTAAGTCATAATTAGAAAAGTTCTGCTTCCATTTACAAATAAAAAATTGTTATTCAATATCATTAAATATACCTTAGTATACAAAAGTTATTAGAATTTCTCTACAAAACATGTAATAAATGACAGCAGCAATAAACTGTCTGGCTTATTTGAAACAGTAATTGAATGTTGACTGCCCAAACATTCAGTAAGACAAGGAAAGATACAATGAGCTCTGGCCTGGCTGGAGACCATCTGTTGAATTCATACATATGGAGGTATCTTAACTCTTTCAGGCCTCAGGTGAACCACAGAAGAGAATCACAGCAGAACAGCAGAATTGAAAGAGAATTATGAATTATCCAGTCCAGTGGCTTACCACTTTTTTTTAACTGTGGCCCACAGAAAGAAATAGAAGGCAGCACACATGCCCCCATACAGAAACAAAAAAAAGCTTTCCAAATCAATATGTACCCTTTCTATGTGCAAAGCACTCTGATTTTAAAATCTGATGGCGACCATATTTTCTGAATCACTAATGGGTTTGGAAAACAGGTAAGAGATCCAGAAAAACAAAGTAATTGACACCTAACATTTCTCATTTAGTGAATGATAGAGCCGAAACAAACACCTCGTGCCCATCCTGCTGTATCATATGAAAGAAAACAGCTGTTATCTACACACATCCCTAGACAGCAGGCTTCTGGCCAATCTTCTAAGTCTGGGAAAATGATTCAGGTGTCAGGCTTATTTTACACTGATAGAGTGTCCAAGATTTTTAGGGCTACCTCAACACCACTTAAGTGAAAACTCACATCCACCAGGGACCTTGAACTGGCCTGCATGGGAGATCATTTGGAGTTTGTGCCTAAATGACCAGCAGGCGAAACCGAATCGAAGGCACAGAGTAGGATCAGGTTTGTCTTGGGCTTGAAGAAACACACAGTCTCCTCACCCTATCCAATGAGTAGCATCACAATGGATAATTTCTTTGCAACTAACGGTATGTATGAAACTTCAGTTCCCAGAGGGTATTATGCTAGGTATAGTAGAAGAGACAGCTTTGGTTGCGCCCCTCCACATCTCATAAGCAGCCGCTAATCTAAGCTGGGAGGTGAGAAAAAAGGCTCATTAGTGAGATAAGACTTGAGTGAGGCTCAGAGAAAAAAGACATAGAAGTGAACATGGAGCGTGGGTGAGGGCAGGCACACCAGCACACCAGCCTGACTGCGCGTGATGGGGGCTCCTGCCATGTGGCTGGGGATGGGGCGAGGCTGGCTGGAGACGGAAATATGAGTTAGGGGATGGTGAAAGTCAGGTCAAGCAAGAAAGGTGAAAAACACGGAGAGCCTGATTAATTTTAATAGCTGATAAATATGAGTTTAATATAATGGGGAAATCTACTTACATGGCTTACCATCACTTCCCATATTACAAAAACATCATATAGGTTTACAATCAGCCCTTTAACTCCCAGAACCATTTACCCTGGTCAAACTCCTTATACTTTACCTTATTCCAAGTAATAGTCACTAGTTTTAATTTGCTAAACAACTGACATTTATAAGGTGCTTCAAGGATGAGGTGACCAGTCTGTCCACATTGTGTCTAAGACTATGCTCTATTTTCAACGTGTATAAGACAAAATAAAATTAAGCAAATTACAGGGATCACGATACTTTCTAAACTAAAATTTCAGTTAGTATAAGAAAGGAACTTTACTGAAGTGAAGCATTAAACAAGATCATAGTGGCATTCTCTTCCTCTTCCTACACTCTTTTTTTTTTTTTTTTTTTTTGGAATCAGGGTCTTGCTTTGTTGCCCAGGCTGAAGGGCAGTGGCATGATCACGGTTCACTGCAGCCTTGAACTCCTGGGCTCAAGCGATCCTTCTGCCTTGGCCTCCCAAAGTGCAGAGATTCGAGTTGAAAGCCACCACGCCTGGCTATTTTGTGTTTTGTTTTGCTGAGATGGGGTCTCACTCTGTTGCTCAGGATGGAGTGCAATGGCACAATCACAGCTCACTGCAACCTCCATCTACTGGGCTCCCACCTCAGCCTCCCTAGCAGCTGGGACTATAGGCATGTACCGCCACACCTGGCTAATTTTTGTATTTTTTTGTAGAGATGGGGT